TCGTGAGTTTTTATATGTAGGACACAAAATGTTTTCTCGCTATATTATACCTTTTCTTTATTGCTTACATTGCCTCCTTCCTTAATGTAAAGATCAAACCATATACATATTATTAAAAGAATAACAACACATTACCGTGGTGAGAACGTATACAACAGAATCTACTATATTATTCAATATTCTTTGTCATTTTCATCGTTTGTTTAGAGGATTTAAAGATCTGTGATGGTGTTAGTAATGTTGACTTGAATCATTTCAATAACTTTGAAGATTAAAAGAACTTACGACATGTTCCAAAGTTGGTTGACAACATTGAGTGCCTCTTTTTCCGACAGTTGTTCGTGATCCTTTCTTATTCTAGGAAGATGGATTTTCATGTATTTTTCAAAGGTGCACGATTCATCTCCGAGATTGTCAAATTTGATTGGTTTATCTTGCTTAGACAGAATTTTGTGATTGATACGCTTTTGTGGCATCGTTTTTTTAGAGATAGATGCTTTAGTTGGCCTGACCCGATTTTCTTCGGACTTATCCGAAACATTAGGCTCGGCGATTTTCGGTAATTCAATGATAGGTTTGACGGAATCTTCTTGTTTGTTAGCGAGGAACAGGACTGTAAAAATTTTGGGTTGTTCTTTTTTAATGGTGACTTCAGGTTGCCTTCGTCCCGCTTTGTTATCCGACCTCCCCTCATCCGATTCATATTTAGGTCGTTCTTCATTTAATTCTACGAGAGCTTGATTTTTGGAGACGGAACGGGTAACAATTCTTTTAACTTCAGGACGCGTTATGTCATTTTCGCGTTGATTCATATTTTCTATATTTGCTTCGGAATTGATAGAACGATTATTCACCTTTTTAATACTTCGCGAGATTTTTATGTATATAAATAAATCAATTATTTTCTTGCTCACCCTTCACGTTAGAATTTTTCATATTTATGAGACAGTTACAGTACGTAGAAAATAATGGAATACCGTATGTACAGTAAATAGGTGGTCAAAATAGGATTTGATCACACATGACTTTGCAAACGTGATAAGGTCAAGATGAACTAACTGGCTATAGTAATACCTATTTTTAATATAATATTATTACAGTGGTCATGTTTATACAAAGAACTTGTTTATAATGTTGTGGTGCCCCAAATTTATACAAAAAAAATACCTCGCATTCAGGCAATTATTTTCATTACCCATATTTGTCGCCTCCGGGATATCATCCGAATGCAGGAAAAAAAAGAAAGTGAATGTAATTGAATGTAAGCAAGGTCTAACTAAAATGGAAACTAATTTGATGTCAACTCACGT